CATGATATGTTCTTATATTGACTTGCTATACCCCGCAGTTCTTATGGTTCCCATGCGGTGTCGTACGGGGTGCATTGGCTGCCCTTGGAATAAACACCAGTGTCCAAGCTGAAATCAACGAGTTGCCGGGTGCCGTGTTTCAGATTAAAACCATACCAAACAAGCCCTGAGGGATTTGTCTGTCTAGCTATAATACCACGATACCCTTCTACCAAGCCTAGGCACACCACACCAAACATCCAACCAACGAGTGCCATGAACGCGCAAGAGCTAAATTTCGCCATGGTTTAGACCAATTCTTGACCAAAACTCCAATCATACCTGCAGCAGTCCCCAAGATTCATCAACATCGGGGCTATAAAGACATCGACCGTAAATCATCGCCCGGAACATTTCACAGCCTGCGCAAAGTCATATCATCAGCGATCGTGCTCATGACTCATATTACTATGTCTAATGCCATAGCTATGGGCATCCTCAGGAGTGTCCTTGCCTGCTCTGGAAGCCTCTTACTGGGTATTAGGGAAGATATCAAATTGGGGGTATTCACTTTTGGGGAGGGTTGTGGACAAAGCTGACACCCTTGGAGATGTTGCCCTTGAGGCCCTCGGTGGCCTTGGCCAGAAGAGCCTTCTCCTGCTCGGTAATGCCCTCCAGTGGGTTGTTGGCCTGCTCGGCACCGTCGGGCTATGTAATATTAGCACATATCCCATCTAGAAACGAAAAAATCTGTCACTTACGCCGAGCTGAATGGGAACAGAGAAGAAGTCGGTGCCAGTCACCTTGGCGATAGCCTCGCCTCCAGGGATACCACCTTCAGAGACTTTTGGAAGGTAGACGTAACTAGGCTCAACGAGTCCCTTCTCTCCCTTCACGGCACGGAGGACCTTCTCGGCAAATCTACAGTCATATTAGTTACTGAGTGGAGCAACATGAAGTGGTTAGGCAACCCACCGGAAACCAGCGTAAGCCATTGAAAGGGTGGCGCTGCCAGCACCATCCTTGGCCTTGACGACCTCGTCACCGCCGAACTGGACGCGGTTCACGAGAGCATCGTACTTGTCCTTGGGGATGTCAACAGCAGGCGTGGCCTTGCTGAAAAGAGGGACGATGGTCTCTCCAGAGTGCCCACCAATGACGGGGATGGTCAGCTCTTGGGGGTTAGCCCTGCCAGTGATCTCGGCAACGAAGGTCTCGGCACGGACGATGTCGAGGGTGGTGACACCAAAGAGACGCTGGGGGTTGAAGACGCCCTTGGCCTTGAGGACCTCAGCAGCGATAGGGACGGTAGAGTTGACGGGGTTGGAGATGACGAGGATGAAGGCCTTGGGGGCGACCTCGGCGACAACCTCGATGAGACCCTTCACAATGCCAGCATTGATGTTGAAGAGATCGTCACGAGTCATACCAGGCTTGCCTGTGCGGGGGATGTGGTCAGTAGAGTAAAACCTGGGGGAGGGGCTCCGGGGTCTGTCGGACACGCGGGGACCAACGCCGGACATCCGGGGTAAGAGCTTTACATACGGGGAATGCCAGCGGGGATGACAATAATGTCGGCGTCCTTGAAAGCAGCCTTAGCGCCATCGTTGGCGGGAAGGTAGCCAGTTGTCTTCTGCAGAGGGTGTGAGCAAATAGTGTGTTTCGGTGGAAGGGAATTATGCATGTTCGACTGGGGGAAATCTGGGGTCGACTCACGGCGCGGGAAGAGATATGGGAGAGATCGGTGGCAACGCCGGGGGTGTTGACGACATCGTAAAGAGCGAGCTCATCGATATGAGGAGATGTCTTGAGGAGAAGAGAAAGAGGCTGTATAACGATCATTGTCAGCTGGTGTAATTTTAAGATTTGAGTGAGCAAGTTTCAACGTACCTGACCAATGCCACCAGAGGCGCCAGCAACAACTAAACAAAACGTCAATTATTGCTCTGATAGGTGCTGAGAGACGATAGCGAGCTGCGAAGAGCGCGAATATAATAGGCAGACATCAAGGTGAAGGAGTGAGTGAGACGACGGTCGTACGTACCAGCCTTAACCATTTTGACTGATTTTACAGGTATATTGGGATTGAAGGAGGGGTAGTTGCTCTGTTGAGACTTTGTAGAAAAGCGAAAAGATGGTAAGAGACGAAGAGTTTGGATGGAAGAGTCAAGATGTGGGAAGAATGAGGAGAGTGGGAGGAGGGTCAAGAAGTGGGAGAGGGTTCAAATAAGTAATGTAGAGGAAGAGCCTCGAGGGTTGTTAATGCGACACGACGGGACGGAGGAGAACAAGCGATGACTGGGCTGCTACTGGCAACCACCACGGCGATACCTGCTGTACTCTACTAAGGTGAGTTAGTTCCAGATCCATTGTGTACAGGGCAGCTCTCCATACAGTAAGGTACCTTAAGGTAGGTACGCCTCTCCATACGGGTACCCTTCAAGCCGGCTTAGACCCTCCCGACTCCCGACGTATGTATTCTAATGGATGTACCTCAAGGTCACCTAGTCCCTTGCTAAGGCATCATAGCACTGCTCTATTGCATCCATTGCATTACTACAGTGCCCGAGTTATTCTCTCCGAGCTGACCGGGAACCTTTACGGCGATTCACGGAGCTGGGCTGGGCTGGGCTGGGCTGGCAAATTTACATGTCCGAGATTATCACAGGCGTCTATATTTGCCTCCATCTTTTCTGCCGCAGACATGTGCGACAGCCTACCTAGGTGCCAGATGTCGAGCGGGGAAAGCAGCAGAAAAGAGCTGTGCAACTCTATGAGCTCTAGTGGGGGTTCCAGGAGGAAACCCCTCCTTGCAAGGGTCAGTGGCTATCATCGACAATTGAGGGGCAGGGCATCATCCACAGTCCAGAACCCACTGCCCATTGCCAGGCCTATTGAATAGTCGAACCAAGAGGAGCGGCATCATCATCTCGCCTCTCTTTCGCCAGCTCTTGATTGCTTGTTACCATCTATCACGAGTTTGAATCTCGAACAATTACGTAGCTGTCCTGATATCACCCACAGTTTCGGAGACCTCTGATGGGCTTTTGCTAATACTCATGATATTATCTCAGACTACCTACATTCTTACGTACCTATCTTTCATGCCTCCACCATCATGGATTTCTTCTTTCCCTTCACCCATTGATGTTCTTCCCCTCTCGCCCGCCCACTTTGACTCGCAACGGCGATCCGCTCCAGTTGTCAGAGACCTGGCGCAATACTTGGCGCGAGGCCTTGAGCTGAGACTGGTGCGCAAGCGCCCTATGCTGCCGTCGGGGAGCAAGAAAACATCAGACCTTGATATAGGGTGTCAAAATAAATTCAGCAAAGGAAATCCTAATCTCATACTAAGCCACTTAAGTCTTTTTGTCCTGTATGATCAAGATTCTGAGTTTTCCTTCCTCCCCCTACACTGCTTCCCTTTCTCTTTTTGGGGGATCCTCACGATAGACTATAAATTCCGATGGAGAACGACATACGATAGCAACGGAGCAACGGACAAGCCCTGACCACTTCACGCATCAGATTCCCTCTCGTCCGCTACATTCGATTGGGTCTCATACCAAACCAACATCAACGAGATGTCAATCTTGTTTTGACAGACTATGCTAACGATCACGGACCTGAGTCTGGTTAGCTTCTGGAACCTGAACCCTCACATCCAGCGTCCCGTGGGGAAGGCTGTCAAGGGACCGATGTTCCCCTGCACCTCCAACTCGACAGCTCTGGACAACTCACCGGGCCTGACCGTCGCAACCCCGAGTTGGGAGCGATCTTTACCCCGACCCAACTCCGGTGAGCACACCAGATCCAAACTCAATTGTCCAACCAAGCTCTACGAGCACGATCAAACAAGTCGCTCATGTAAAAGTGTTGGTAATCCTATCGTGTAAACCCCACCTTGTGTATTACTGAATCTGTTTCTCGCCTTGCTGGTTATGTGACTTATAAGTGGACAATGCCCTCTCGTTACAAGAATTCACTGTTTGCAGAAAATCAACAAACCAGGTGTTCAAGCCACCAAGATGAGGGGGCGGCTGATCCCTCCCCGTTACCAAATTTGGAAGTTTTGCAAATGTATCTCTGCAGCCTTGGTGGTTGGCTGTTATTAGCTCACTTTGAGTATGAGCCAAGTCATTTGAAACATCATCACGAATCTTCATTGATATCTTGTCAAACAAGTTTCGTCTTTTTCCGATACCTCCGTGGGTGGTAGCCTCCAGCATCCGGATGTTGATATGTCTCAAATCGTATAGCAGCCGGATATTTGTCGTTCAGAGACTGATTTCGGTGGATGATTTGCGTCTATTGCACCAACCATGTTTCGTGCCCTTCACCTTGGTCAGCGTCTGGAAATCAACGTGCGTCTAACTCAAGAAAACTAACTCCGGATTGTGGTTACATGAGCCCTTGAGCATCAAAACATTCCGACTTATGATCTTGTTGTTCAAAATATTGCTCCGATCTTATCCGGGATAGTGACGTCTTGAATCGTATTCATGAGGATCCTCGACGCCTTGACACTCGGCATGATCCTCGGTATCCCGTGGTACCGAAGTCATGACCCGAATTCTACCGCTTCGCACTTATACATCCAGACAACATCGTGAGCTTCCACCGATGATCAGAGAACTGGTTGGTGCAGGCTTTGTCCAGACCGGCCATGCCAATCACGATTTAATTGTTGCTGAGACTCTTGTTGTGCTACGTCACTGAAGGTACATGAAAGAGTAGTTGACCATCGAGGGTTCTTGACATGATCTGCATCATACAATCACGAACATACACTTTCTTTCTTATACTGAGACACAAATTTTGGGTTGCCGACGATATTGCCAGCGAGATATTCATTCATTTTGAGCTCACTAACTCCAACAGTGAATGACCCAGAGACCTCGGTCCATGTGCTATTCCCACACTGATCGCTTTTTTATCAGTTGTGGGCTACGCAGCGTGCCTCCCTTAGCTTCATGCCCCAGCCTTATTCACAATACATTTCTATCTTGGTATTAGACAGCTTAGTTCTCCTCAGCAGCAGCGGCGGCCTTCTTGGCCTTGTTGCCACGGAGCTTCTGCTCGGGCTCGGGCTTGACGGGCTTGTTGGACTTCTTGAGGGCGGAGGCACGCTCAACGGCAGCGGAGCGGAGATCAGCACGGTAACCGTTCTTGGCAGCCTGGTTGGCAACAGCCTGGTAGGTCCTGTGCGAAAGAATCACGGTCAGCCCCGTTCCGCAAATGCTCAATGTCGAATAACAACGACGGTGTGGGCAGTCGAATACTCACTTGCGGTTGCTCTTGGATCCGCTGTAAGAGGTCTTGACAAGGTTCTGGGCGGGCTTGTTGGGCAGAGCCTTCTTGGAGGTGACAACAATAGCACCCTTCTCGCCAGAGGAGATACCGAGAGCCTGTTAATTCGATTTGTTTAGCATCGTACGTTCATCGAGTCGAGGCGTCTTCATCGGGGCTGCTGTAGCCGTACCTTGTCGTTGACGAAACCAGCGTGCTGTGAGGTGAGTTAGCGCACACGATCTACCATGACCCTACGACTATCCAAGAGGGTATCAAAACTCGGGAACGGAATCGTACCTTGCGGGAAGTCTTGTTGGTCAGGTTAAGGGGGTCTCGGGAGAACTGGACACCGCCGTTCTTCTTGCTCTTGGCGGAGAAGCAGTTGTTGTCACCTGCGCGATCGCAAAAACGTTTCAGTAATTGACTTCTTAAATATCAAGGCGCATATCGTAGGCCAAAATTCATATCATAGCAGATGAGAAATTTGTCGAAGGGAGACTCACGGACGATCTCCCAGATCAGATCCGAGGAAATGTTGGAGAGCTCCTGGGCGGCAGACATTGTGAATGGAGGTTTTGGCGTGAAAATTGACCGGGGAGAGTGAAGCTTGAGGTTGTCGTCGTCGAGATATCCAGTTCCAAAGACTATTCACCAAAGTCGGCGAGAATTGTGCGTAGAGAAATTATGGGGCTCGCCTAGCATGCCAAACAGGGCTAGACACCGATGCTGACTTTACTGGCCAAACCAAAGGGGGCCGAGGGGCGGGAGCATCGAAAGACTGGGCCAGAGTGTCAGTGGGTAAATTCATTGGAACAGAGTTGAGAGACGAATGGTTGATACGACCGACCCCTGATGTCATACAATAAGACATTCAAAGCTCATTCCTGTCTATAATCTACTATACAGAAGGGGGGCACATTGCTCGGTGTAGGGATCAAAAATCTATATTACAGCATATATCTCCATCTCTCAACAAACAACAGCTTCAGAACCAACTTGCGTGTCCTTGTGCCTGTAGCGGCTGTGCCAAGCCAGAAAACGCGTGGCTTAATTGATTGGGAGAGGGAGCCCGAGGCCTCGCAAACAGAGTCACGTCAGCACTTTCATTCCTGAGACAAAGAGAAGGAGGCTCGTCTCTTCACTTTTATTGCTGGACTTCCACTTGCACTTATTCAAATCCGGACCTTGCTTTGCCTTGCGGAGGGCGAGAAATATCAACCACGGCTAATAAACTCTGCACTTGCGACTTTTTATAGTCCGTCTTTTACCAGAGACGGGCTATTTATTTATCATGCAACTTTGAACTTCTATCCTCTTTTATACGCCTGCGACTTGGCCGTTCCTTTCTTTTGTACCCCGATCGTATCGTATCGTATCGCTGCGTTGCACATAAATCTGTCGATCGACCTCTACTTCCAACCATCTTTCTCTTTAATACAAACTCGCCCAACATGTCGTATCTTCTCTACTCGATCTCCTTCTTCGCCCTCGTCCTCGGCACAGTTCTCTTCTTCACCCGCGCCCACTGGATCCCCCACGTCCAACATCTACGACCCAGACTCCCTGGCGCAGACTACATCTACTCGCGACTCCCGAACAGTTTCGCAGGCGATATCGAGGCCGGTCTTTCCAGCAATACATTCGATCTCTCCGGAAATGTCGAGTCAGGCGATTCGCGCGCTGGTCTTGACGATGCGGCCAAGGCTGAGGTCCTCGCTATCATGAAGAAGAGACGGATGAACTTTGACCAGGCGAGGAAGGTCTACATGGAGAACCGTTTCAAGGCCAACGGTATTGGCGCTGATGGATTACCGAGGGATCCGAAGTTCGTGAGCTTTTCATAAGAGTTGCGTGAGCATGCGAAGTACCCGACGAGAAACGTAGCGCATTACGACGCCATTCGACTACGAATTCTACTCTCAGATTATTATTACTATTCCTACTTTACCAATTTCGATGCTTCCGCATCATCCAAAAACTACACTATGTCGAAGCGATAGATTGCTTGACGCGCGAAACCCTTTTTACGTTGGCACACCAGATGCAATTTCCTATACCTTTCAAGTCTTTTTGGTTTCCCTGATTTGTTCGTTTTTTTTATTCCTCTATGTTTCGGCAGCGTTTGTTGGATTGCTCAATAAAGGACTTGATATCAGCAGCCTGCACTCATTTATGATATGCAAGGCAAGGAGTTAGGGTGGGATGCGAAATGGTTATTATTAACTGAGCAGACTCTGTCTGCCCAGTCAACTATTGTACTTTTCTTATCTGCTAGTACTACATATGCAATCGATGAATTCTCCATGTCATCGTGATGTCCGCCAAACGCCGTGAGTGAGTGAATACACATACAAGGGTCAAATCTATATACAGAGAATGCCCAACGCTAGACTGGGGGATGGGTAACATTGTCAACTGGTAGTGTCGTTTACTGACAAGGGCCTGTTCTGCTGATGAGAACGCCCAAGATTGGGTCCTAATGCAAGAAATTGACCGAACCCAGTTTGCCAGACTGGCAATGGACTTGAGGACTAGCCAGAAGCACATCTATTGAGTCTTCTTGGTGCTAGACGAACCGTATGTGCGGTTGTCTTTACCCTCAATCTCTTCAATAAGCTCATCGACCTTCTCAATCTCCTTCTTCCATCGACCCTCTGACATCTTCATATTACGCTCGAACATCCACTGCTCAGGCATGAGATATGTGCCACCCATGCGGTCAAAGCCAGTGAAGAACTGGCCGTAATTGACCTCAAAGCGAGAATGGTGGAGGGAGTGGCAAGCAGCGCCGTTGACAACGGGATTGTTGGTGAGATATTCGCCATCGTGAATCATGACAGACCAGAGGTTCACGAACACGAAGAGCGCCACATATGCCATTTTCTGGAGCGGGAAGATAAAGGGGAAGATGTGGTATGGCAATGACTGGGTGAAGCCATCGAGAGGGTGGAAAGCATGGCTAGCAAAGGGCGTAGGCATGATCCACTTGTGGTGAAGCTTGTGCAGGTACTTGTAGACCAGGCGGTGGTGAAGCCAGCGATGAGCCCAGTAGATGCAGAAGTCGGTGAAGAGGAGGAAGAGCGGGAACTGGAAGAAGTCGTACCAGAGCCCGGGTCCGTCTTCGGTGGTGTCGTAGAGCTTGCCGTATCCGCGTACTTCGAGGAGGAAGAAGGGTGCCGTGATGATAGCCATGACGGGCATGGCCTTGTTGGCTGCAATGATTTCAAGACGGACTTGGTTTTTTATGAAGCGAGGATGGTCAAATGTTCGCTTGTCGAAGATGAAGATGTATGAGAGTGTCGCGACGATGAAGTAGACGAGAAGCCCAAAGATCCTAAAGCTTGTTAGCTAAATCCGTGAATCTCAGAATGGAACTGACCAAGTGATGAGGTATAGAGTCAGGGCTTGCCGAAGAGGGTTGTCACGATCCCAAGCGCTCATGTATGCCTCCTCTGCTGGCTCAAGTGTGATGAATTGAGTGGCCGGCTTGTAAGTCCATGTTGAGAAGGCCTTGGCCGACGTATCTGTCGAGTTTGAGGGCGACGGGAAATCATAAGGAGCTGGAGGCTTTGGGTGAAAGTAGGCGTATGCGTAATCAGCGATGAATGTATCGACAACCTCGAGGACGACGTCCATGGTCGGCAATTGGGTTTGTTGCAAAGTTATAAAGCCGCGGGTAGATAAATGAGTGGGCTTGTAGAAGTGACGGGGCGAAGACTGGTGTAAGTGACCAAGAGAAACACCACGAACTCAGGTTAAGAGTCAACCAAACGGAACAAAGAATCACTGAGAACCCCCTGCAAGACGCAATGCAATGACTTGTAAAACCAAACCTATTCACAGAGGGGCCTCGCCTTCTTTATCAATGAATCGACCAAGGGGAAGGATATCGCATTGTCTGATACTACAAGGGTCCATCGGCGGCTTGCGAGGCGGGGCCGTTGTTTCTGTCAAGGATGCAGAGACAAGTGGAGTTCTGGGAAGGGCCTTTAGAGCCCGATTGAGCCAATTGGGGAGCTTGGAAGTGAGAGCTTCTAGATTTATCTTATGATGTAGGACGTACGAGAAGAGGAGCTCCTGGTGACTTGGACGAACAAGACGAGTCTTTGCCATTCAAGTCAATTGAGGCGCTGTATGCATGTGAAAGGATATTCAAAAGATGGAATTCTCGCCAGAACGTAAATACGAATACAGAAACCTCTACAGCTCTCATTGGAGAATTCCTATGCTCGAGATTAGATTCGTCAAGTACCGGAGCCAGTAACGGTCGTCTTTGAATGAGAATCGCATGATGAGCTCCGAACGAGCCCGGGCGAGTAAGAGCTCTGTTCAGCGCCATTTCAGTGCCTCATCAACCACCAGGAAACAAAATAACAAGGGTTAATATCATTTCTTGTGTTGTTTGAAGTGGTCTGTTCCGGCTTCTCAGAGCCCCGAATGCTTGTCAACCAATTGGCTTTTACAATTGGAATTGACGTTCCACTCTGAATCGAGGACCATTTATTTTCCGATATCACGAAGACGAGATATCGAACGATTCAGCTCTGGGTAATTCAGCCTTAAAAGGGGAAATTGTCAAAGTACATCTTCACCGCAACACTACGTCACGAGAACGTGCTGATACTGCGAGAGCGTGATATACTGGGTGAATCGATATACTGTGACATTCTGCGCAATGATTCTAGGGTTTACTATGAATTGCCTCATAGCCCTGCAGTAAGAGGGTTTTTGCAGTCAACATGTCACATTCCACATTGTAATTATATCCATAGTGTGTATTGTACTTTGTTCTTTTTTATCCAAATACTTGAAGTCAATATCATGGTTCGACAATGCATGGTCGATTCATCTATACAGCGTGGAGATACGGAAACGAATACGTCGGGGAAACCCTGGAAATCTCACACGAGGAACCGTTATGAACTGACGTCTTGTGGTATGCTGACTTTGGACCCCTAATAACCTACGGAATTTCGGTTATAAGAGGGAATAGCTGTCCTCAAACTGACTGCCTTGACAGCCCTTGTTTCAATGGGATCATGCTTTCTGGTTACCCTAATTCTATGATCATGATTCATTGGGTCAACCCTTTGAACTGTATCTACGCATAATTCTGTTGCCTCAGAAGTTTGCTCCACGTCAGTGACTTTTATCTGAATTCGGTTGGGCAACTTTATTTTGATACCTATGATTAAGAGCGTAACGGTAACAAAACTCAGAGTTTCAATTTCGAGAACCGGAAAGAAAACCACCGAACTATCGGATTTATGTGAGTTCCTACCCTAGGCATCCTACCCCGCAGGTGAGCGAGTATGATGACAAAGGCCGGCTGCGCGATACTTATCAACATGTTCCGAGTCAGATACTTAAGCCTTGTCACCATTTTCTCAGCTATTGTGAGTCGTGTATCGCCCACCAATTTTTCTGGCCAGAATCGAAAATGCCCGAATATGGTGACGTTACTCGATTAAATGGAACGAATGAGTCTTCAAATATGAATCTTGATGCCACTCACGGTTCTCTATCACCCACTCGCAACTCATCATTTCTGAAAATGACTA